AGCGCCGCACTGTCAGAGGGTCAGTGCTGAGGGAGCGCCGCACTGTCAGAGGGTCAGTGCTGAGGGAGCACCGCACTGTCGGAGGGTCAGTGCTGAGGGAGTGGGCACTGTCGGAGGGTCAGTGCTGAGGGATCACCGCACTGTCGGGGGGTCAGCGCTGAGGGAGCACCGCACTGTCGGAGAGTCAGTGCTGAGGGAGCACCGCACTGTCGGGGGGTCAGTGCTGAGGGAGCACCGCACTGTCAGAGGGTCAGTGCTGAGGGAGTGCCACACTGTCAGATGCTGTCTTTCAAACTGCCCCCTCAGCTGCTGTGTCAGGGGGATGAGAAAGTATTTGTTGACGTTATTATGAAGGAGAATTCTCCCTGATCATCTGGGCCATTGCTGTTTAAGGGAGCTTACTGCTGGCAAATTGACGACTATCTTTCCTCCAGTCTAACAATGACTACACTTCAAAAAGTACCTCACCCTGCTATAAATTGGATTGGGACATCTTGAAGTTTGAAAGGCACTATATAAATGCAAGGTCTTTCTTTTCAGTGTTTTAATTTCCCCAGTTTGTTACATCCTCCCATGCTCAGGAACCAGGAAGAATCCGCGAAGATTAGGAGTGGTTTTACTGGGTTGAACGTAGTAGCCATGGTAACAAGCAAAGTGCCAATAGCAACTGATCAATATAAACAGGAGGTCCATCATCTAGTGCCAGTAGCTCCTTGGATTGCCAACTCTGACTGGCTGCATTCCTGGAGGTTTTATGATGTGACCTTCTGCCTCAGAGCAACCTGCTCACACATGAATGGAGGCTCCCAGATACACCTTCCAGGTGAAGCAACACTTCACCTGCACTTCCCACAATCTAGTCTACTGCATTCGCTGCTCACAATGTGGTCTGCTCTACACTGAGGAAACAAAATGCAAACTGGGCGACTACTTTGCGGAACACCTACCTTCTGTCTGTAAAAACTACCCTGAGCTTCCAGTTGCCTGCCACTTCGACACACCCACCCTGTTCCCTGGCCACTATCTCTGTCTCGGGTTTGCTGCACTGCTCCAGCGAAACTCAACACAAGTTGGAAGAACAGCGCCTCGTTTTTCTGCTTAGGGACCCTGCAGCCTCCAGGACTCAATATCGAGTTCAATAATTGTAGAACCTGATTGCCACCTTCCATATCCTTTACCCATCCTCGCCCACCAGGCCCTGTCATGACATGAGCTGCTTTCAGCCCAGCCAAGCCATTCTCATCTACTTATGGTTCCCATTACTAGCTTTTCTCCTTCTCTGGCTCACCATTATCCATCCCTTTGTTTGCCTCACTATCTTTCTCCCTCTCTGGGCTCTATCTCCACTAATTGCCTGTTCCTTTACAACACCCCCAACCCCAACTTCAGCTTAAGTACCACTTTTTCCTAGCTCCTACTAGCTGTGATGAAGGGTCACTAGACCTGAAACGTTAACTCTGTTTCTGTCCATATTCACTGCCAGATCTGCTGATTTTTTCCAGTAATTTCTGTTTTCATAGCCACACCCATGTTATTGATTGGGCTTGTCATATGAGGAGTGTTTGAGGATGCTGGGTCTGTACTGAAAGTTTGGATGGATGATGGGGGTCTCTGATTGGAACCTGCAGAATACTGGGAGGCCTGGATAGATTCGACTTGGAGAAGATGTCTCCACTAGCAGGAGAGACTAGGAACATAGAACAGAACAGCACAGTACAAGCCCTTCAGCCCACAGAAGGCACAGAAACTGGGGAACTGAAGGCACAGCCTCAGATTGAGGGCACAACCTTTCGAACTGAGATGGGGAGGAATTTCTTCAGCCAGAGGGTGGTGAATCTGTGGAACTCATTGCTGCAGAGGGCTGTGGCGGCCAGGTCATTGAGTGTCTTCAAGACAGAAATTGAAATGTTCTTGATTAGTCAGGGGATCCAAGGTTACAGGGAGAAGGCAGGAGAATGGGGTTCAGAAACATATCAACCATGATCAAATGGTGGAGCAAACTTGATGGGCTGAATGGCTTAATTCTGCTCCTACATCTTCTGGCCTTGAAGCACTGTCTTCCTACAACCAATGGGGAAGGGCAACAGGCACTTTGTTACCCAAACAAATTAATCCTGTTTGTTGTGGTCTTCGTCAAATTTGATCACCATACGGTAACAATTTCAAATTCAGTCTGAGGGAAAGCAACCTGGGTCTCAAATCAGTGTCATAAACTTAATTAAGGGCAATTGTAGAGCGATGAAGAGTTGTCTGAAGTGTGTTCGGAATATAGATTAAGTGGCAGGTCAGTAGATAAGCAGGAGAAGATATTTAGACAGATATTTCATAACATTCAGCAAAAATATTCTCTGGTCAAAAGAAGGACTCAATGAGAATGACAAAGTAGCAGAAACTATTGGCAGTGCAGAGGATTCAGAATTTTTTTTAGGAACTAGTAACTGATCACTAAACAGCTAACAAAGAGGGAGAAAATTGATTATGGAAGTAAATTAGCAAGCAATATGAAAATAAGTGCAGCTTCTTTAAGACAGAAATTGATATGTTTTTGATTAGGGGATCAAAGGTTACAGGGAGAATGGGGATCAGAAACATATCAAAACAAAGAGAGTATATAAAAAGAAAGAGCGTAGCTAAAGTAATGTGAGACCCTTTGGAAAATGAAACTGGGGAATTGATAATGAGGACAAGGAAATGACACATAATTTAACCCAACACTTTTGCATCAGTCTTCAATGTGGAGGACACCATAAACGTCTTAAAGAAATCAGATAAACAAGGTACTAATTGGAGGAAAGATCTATAACAGTCTCCCTCACAAGGGACAAAGTATTTGACAAACCAATGGAGCTAAAGACAGATAGTCTCCAGGTCCTGATGGCCTGCACCAGGGGTTTTAAAGGAAGGGACCACAGAGATAGTCGAGGTATTGATTGAAATATTCTAGAACTCATTGGATTCTGAGAGGGTTCTGGCGAACTGGAAAACTGCTAATGTGACAAGAAAGAAGGGAGACAGAAAGCAGGGAATTATAAAGCAGTTTTCCTGACATTTGTCTTTGAGAAAATACTAGAATCCATTATTAAGGGGAAAAAAAAGACATTCAGTAAAGCTTAACACAATCAGACAGATTCAACATGGGTTTGTGAAAGAGAAATCATGTTTGATAAATTTGCTAGAGTTCTTTGAGATCACAACAGGAGGAGTTGATAAGAAGGAACTAGTAGATGTAGTTTATTTGGATTTGCAGAAGGCATTCAAGAAAGTGACATACAAAAAGTTATTGTACAAGATTGGAGCTCAGGGGATATGTTAGCATGGATTGAAGATTAGTTAACACACAGAAGGCAGAGAGTTGGGATAAATGGGCCTTTTTTCAAGTTGGAAGTAACTGGTGGACTACCACAAGGATTAGTCTGCAGGCTTCAAATATTTGCTTGGTTTATTAATCATTGGAGGAGGGGGCAGTGTCATGTATCCAAATTTGTTAGCAACGCAAGGGTATGTTGCAGTGAGGGCATGAGGATTCTGAAAAGGGATAAAGATCAGTTGAGTGAGTGGGTAAAAATCTGGCAGATGGGTTTAACGTCAGAAAGTGTGAGGTTGTGGACTTTGGTGGGAGGAATCAAAAGGCAGACTATTAAGTGGAGATAGACTCCAAAAAAGTGAGGCGCAGAGGGATCTGGGTGTTCTTGTGCATGAAACACAAACAGTTGGCATGCTGGTGCAGCAAGGAGCCAAGAAGGTTAATGGAATGTTAGTCTTTATTGGAGATAGCAAGAACTGACAATACTGGAGTCAGAGTCGATACAGTGTGGAGCTGGAGGAACACAGCAGGTCAGGCAGCATCAGAGGAGCAGGAGAGTCAACTTTTTGGGCCTAGACCCCTTTATTGACCTTTATTGCTAGGGAATTAGAGTTTAAAAATGGGGAAGTCTTCTTACAACTGCAAAGGATGTTGGTGAGACTACACATGCAGTACTGCGTACAGTTTTAGTCCTCACGTTTTTAAAAAAAGGACATAATTAGATTGGAGACAGTTTGAAAGAGACCCACTAGTCTGATTTATTCATTCACGGGATGAGGGCATCGCTGGTGAGGCAGCATTTATTGTCCATCCCTAATTGCCCAGAGGGCAGTTACGAGTCAACCACATTGCTGTGGGTCTGGAGTCACATGTAGGCCAGACCAGGTAAGGATGGCAGTTTCCTTCCCTAAAGAGCATTCGTGATGATTCACTGTCGTCATTAGACTCTTAGTTCCAGATATTGATTGAATTCAAATTCCGCCATCTGCTGTATTTAAAGATGGAGGTGATGGATTTATGAAATATCGGAGAGCTGTGGGCTGTGATGAGCTGGCACAAAAGATGAGTTGATGCCTGGGGCAGATCATCCACGATCTTCTAGAATGGGAGGGCAGGTCTAAGGGGCCGAATAGCCTGCTCCTGCCACTTTTTTCATGTTTTATGTCAACACTACGAAATGTTGCTTGCTGCATTGGCAAGAGCATTGAGTGTAGGAGTTGGGACATTATGTTGTGGCTGTATAGCACATTGGTGAGGCCACTTTTGGAGTATTGTGCACAGGTCTGGTCGCCCTGCTACAGGAAGGATATTATTAAAGTGGAGAGGGTGCATAAAAGATTTACAAGGATGTTGCCAGGACTAGAGGTTTTAAGTTAGGAAAGGTTGGATAGGCTGCACTTTTTTTCCCTGAAGTGTAAGAGGCTGAGGGGTGACGTCATAGAGGTTTATAAAATCATGAGGGGCATAGATAAGGTGAATATTAAAGTTCTTTTCCCTAGGGTGGGGGAGTTCAAAACTAGAGGGCATAGGTTTAAGGTGAGAGGGGAAAAATTTAAAAGGGGTGTGAGAAGCAACTTTTTCACACAGAGAGTGTTTCGTACATAGAATGAACTGCCAGAGGAAGTGGTAGATTCAGGTCCAGTTACAACATTTAAAAGACATTTGGACAGGTACATGGATAGGAAAGGTTTAGAGGGACATGGGCCAAATGCAGGTAAGTGGGACTAGTTTAGTTCAGGAAACATGGTCAGCATGGATGAGTTGGACCGAAGTGTCTGGTTCCATGCTGTATGACTCTGTGACACGCCAATGAAGTGACATCATTGGGTTAAAGCTGCAGGATATTTTTACCTTTATCTTTGATGAATGAGTGTCTTCAAAGAATAAGAAAAGGAACACAGTTATTAAGCCTTTTCTTTTGTCCTTGCCTGCAGCAATGACCTGGAAATTAATTCTGTCTTTCCTGGAGACTCTAAGTCTCCCCTGGAGGGTTGGCAACTCGAACTGCTTATTATGCAAATACAGAATGATGGTCTCATTGGATTTAATCTTGTTTCTCCTGCAGGAGATTGTAGATTGGTTCAATGCCATTCGTGCTGTCCAGTTTCACTACTTACAAGTGGCATTTCCAGGGACAAGTGACCATGAGGTAAGCTTCACTGACAACGCCTCTTGAGTATCCTAAATAAAAACCGAAAGAACTGTGGACACTGTAAATCAGAAACAAAAACAGAAGTTGCTGGAAAAGTTCAGCAGGTCTGGCAGCATCTGTGGAGAGAAATCAGAGTTAACGTTTCGGGTCGGGACCCAAAACGTTAATTCTGATTTCTCTCCACAGATGCTGCCAGACCCGCTGAGCTTTTTCAGCAACTTCTGTTTTGCCTCTGAGCCTCCTCTGGTCTACAGTGAGAGCATACCGTTTGACGCCGTTAGCCTTAAGGACTATATTGAACTCCTTCTTGAAAATAAATAAATTTATTTTCCAACTTCGGATTCGACAGCTGAAGCACAAACTGACGAGGAACTTCCTGAAGGAAGGCTACATGGAGAAAACAGGACCCAAGGTAAGAGAGACCAACATCTTCTTGTTATTGTTAAATGGTTCCAAGTTACCCAGTGGCTCAGTGGTTAGCACTGCTGCCTCACAGCGTCAGGGACCCGGGTTTGATTCCACCCTCGGGCGACTGTCTGTGTGGAGTTTGCACATTCTCCCCGTGTCTGCGTGGGTTTTCTCCAGGTGCTCTGGTTTCCTCCCACAGTCCAAAGATGTGCAGGTTAGGGTGGATTGGCCATGCTAAATTGCCCGTAGTGTTCAGGGATGTGTAGCTTAGGTGGGTTATAGGGGGATGGGTCTGGGTGGGATGTACCAAGGGTTGGTGTGAACTTGTTGGGCTGAAGGGCCTGTTTCCACACTGTAAGGATTCTATTTTCTTTTTTAATCACAACTGTCCACACCGCTGCCTAGAAACAGGAGAGGAGAACATCAAAACAGCACGGAATGTGGCGACAGAACACTTTCCACTGTATCTCCCTAGATATATGTGTCAATAAATCATTCACTAATCCATCATTCATTCATTCATGAGATAACAAGGTGTAGAGATAGATGAACACAGCAGGCCAAGCAGCATCAGAGGAGCAGGAAGGCTGATGTTTTGGGCCTAGACCCTTCTTCCTTAGTTGGAGATAAGTTCGGTGGGGCAGGAGCAGGTGGAGACAATGGGTTGACCAGGGCAGTCAGGTCTGTGGATTTTGGGAAGGAGATAGAAGTGGGCGGTGCAGGGTTGGGGAACAATGAGGTTGGAGGCTGTGGGTGGGAGGTCACCTGAAGTGGTGAGGTTGTGGATGGGTTGGGAGATAATGGTTTGGTGGTCAGGGCTGGGATCATGATTAAGGGGGCGGTAGGAGGAGGTGTCGGAGAGTTGGCACCTGGCCTCGGCGATGTAGAGGTCAGTGCGCCATACTACAACTGCGCCTCCGTTGTCCGCGGGTTTTGTGGTGAGGTTGGGATTGGAGCGGAGGGCTGCACGTTCTGCAGGGGAGAGGTTGGAGTGGGTGAGAGGGGTGGAGAGGTTGAGGCAATTGATGTCACGACGGCAGTTGGAGATGAAGAGGTCGAGGGAGGATAGGAGGCCTTGGGGTGGTGTTCAGGAGGAGGGGGTGTGTTGGAGGCGGGAGAAGGGGTCAGTAGGCAGAGGGTTAGGCTCACGGTTGAAGAAGTAAGCACGGAGGCGGAGGCAGCGGAAAAACTGTTCAATGTCCAAACGTGAGCGGTATTCGTTGATGTGTGGGTGGAGGAGGACAAAGATGAGCCCTTTACTGAGGACTGACCATTCGTCCTCAGTAAAGGGGAGGTCTGGGGGGGATGGTGAAGACCCGGCAGGGCTGGGTGCTACTGTCTCCTCAGGAGCTGCTGGCTGTGGAGGCGGTGGGCGGAGCGACGTCGGCGTCGGCTGTGGGTGGAGTTGCGTTGGCGATGGGCAGAGCGACGTCGGCATCAGTGGTGGGCCGTGCGGCGTCGGCTGTAGGCGGAGTTGCGTCAGCGGTGGTGGGCGGAGTTGCATCGGCGTTGGGCAGAGTTGTGTCGGCGTTGGGCGGAGTTGCGTCGGAGGTGGTGGGCGGAGTTGTGTCAGCGTTGGGCAGAGTCGCGTCGGCGTTGGGCGGAGTTGTGTCGGAGGTGGTGGGCGGAGTTGCGTCAGCGTTGGGCAGAGTCGCGTCGGCGTTGGGCGGAGTTGCGTCGGAGGTGGTGGGCGGAGATGCATCAGCTTCGGCAGTGGGCGGAGTTGCGTCGGCGGTGGTGGGCGGAGTTGCGTTGGCGGTGGGCGGAGTTGCATCGGTGGTGGTGGGCGGAGTTGCGTCGGCATCGGCGGAGCGGGGTAGGCAGCGGCAGCAGCGGTGACAGTAGGTGCGTCCTCAGTGTCTATGGTGTTGGCCTCGGAAATGGAGGTGGTGGCATCAGCAACAGTGTCGATGGCGTCGCTGTCCCGGAAGTGGTGTACCTGGTGGTGGAGGATGTGACGTCATCCGTGGGTGCTCTGACAGTGGCCTCATGGCCAATGGCGGTTGGCACATTGTGGGGAAGGTCCTGGGTAGGGTTGGGGATTTGGGAGGTGGAGTAGGCCCGTTTTAGGTGGTAGGCACCAGTAAGTTTACTGTACTTACGGTTTTTAGTGTCCAATAAAGCTGAGTAGAATTGTGAGTTCAGGTTGTGGATCCTACGAAGAATAAAAAACAGGAGATGTCCTTTGCCAGTCCCCATTCATTTATTCATTCCCAGCTATAAGCACAGATACCCATTCTCCTAAATAAAACCCAAAAGAACTGCAGATGCTGTAAATCAGGAACAAAAACAGAAGTTGCTGGAAAAGCTCAGGAGGTCTGGCAGCATCTGTGGAGAAAAAAATCATAGTTAACATTTCGGGTCCAGTGACCCTTCCTCAGAATTGATGGTAGCTGGGAAAATGTCGGTTTATATGCAGAAAATAGGGAGGGGGATGGGGTAGGGAGTAAACGACAGGATCAAGCCCGAAGAGAGAGAAGAGCAGTTGGATAGACAAAGGGGTTGATAACAATCTGGCTGGGAGGGTGAATAGCTGTTAATGGGGACTGTTAATGACTAACTATAGGTACTGTGTAATGGCAGGCTATGTGATAACAAGGCCTGGTGTGTGGGATAGGGGGCTAGGACATGGAACTGAGATAACAAGATGTAGAGCTAGATGAACACAGCAGGCCAAGCAGTATCAGAGGAGCAGGAAAGCTGACGTTACAGCTCCACACCTTGCTATCTCAGATTCTCCAGCATCGGCAGTTCCTACTATCTCTAGGACATGGAATTTCTGTTTTTGTACCTCTGCTCCTAATTGGGTTCGATGTACATGCATGGTTTTGATGCAAAGAGCACATTTCCCTTGGAAGTTCACAGCTCAGATGGGGAATTGTGGGACACTTCCTGTCACCAATGGGGACACTTCCTGCCATCACCCGCAGTTCCATTCTGCCTGTTGAAGGAGACCTTTTGGGTCCAGTGGTAGTATAAGATGAACAGGGAGTTTTCCTGGGATTCTGACCACCATTCCTTCTAACGCCCACTGAGAAAGGTCAACTGGGCACTGGTCACATTGTTACCTGTGGGTTGTACTCAAAATGGCTGCCAAAGTCCACAATAACAATGCTAATCAAACGTGATTGAAGACTTGCGAATTGTAAAATTTCCACTCTTTACAAGGACCTCTTTTTAAAGATGCTCTGTCTTTGGGACCTGGGTTTGATGGCTCCTGTCATTGACTGGATCACCCATTGGTTTTAGTCACAGCTTTACAGGTGATGAATCAGCTCCTTGTTAGACAGGCACCCTGCGAGGACTGAGTATATTTCAGGAAATAAGAAAGGTGCTTGTGTGATCTCATCCCAACCATCGGTGGTTACAGGAGACACACATGCGCGCGCGCACACACACACACACACACACACACACACACACACACACCTTCTCTCAAATATACACTCACACTCAGAAACCCCACAGTGCAGAAAGAGGCCATTCGGCCCATTCAGTCTGCATCAACCCTCCGAAGAGCATCTCACCCAGTCCCCCACCGTACCCCATAAGCCTTCATTCCCCACGGTTAATCCACCTAGCTTGCACATCTTTGGGTTGTGGGAGGAAATCGGAGCACCTGGAAGAAATCCACGCAGACAAAGTGAGAATGTTTCGATGGGCCGAATGGCCTAATTCCTGCTCCTATGTCTTATGGTCCATACAGACAGTCGTCCGAGGCTGGAATCAAAACCAGGTCCCTGGCGCCGTGAGGCAGCGGTGCTAACCACTGAGCTGGCATGCTGCAGGCTCTCTAACACATACCTTTTCACTCTCTCTCTCTCTCTCTCTCACTCACACACACACACACCTCTTCCCACACACATGCACGTGTGCAAACATACACACACACTTACAGTTTCTCTGTCTTACACACACACACACAAACACATGTCCCTGCTGTCGTACACATCTTCGATCTCACATGCACTGTCTCTCATGCTCACACTCTGTCACACACATCCTGTCTCTCACACATACTATTTTACACACAAATTCTCACATGCCCTCCGTCTCTCTCACACACATACACATGCTCATACATACACACACACACACACACGCACATGCAATGTGTGGAATTTTGAAGAAAATTCTATTTTACTTTCTTTTCCTGCCCTGTATGTTTGAAATTCTCACTGCTAACATATTCAGCAATTTATGATCTCACATTCATGACCAGTTCCCTGTGTTAGATGCACAGACAATTACTTAATCAACAAACTGAAAACATTGTAGTTAATGTTCTGGATTTTAAATTTATACAAAGCAGAGAAGGACGGGTGATATATTTGTAAAGCATCTTTTAGGTTGTCAGGCCATTCCAATGGTCTACAGACATTGGTGAGTGGATGTGGTGTACTGCAGAGCTGTGATATGGTCTGTTGGCTCTATAATCACCTCTGTCTCGCTGTAGTATTCTGCTTCGGCTGTTCGGCATGTGTATGTATTGTAGCTTTATCAGGTTGGCATTTCATTTTCGACATCCCTGGTGCTTAAAGTTTTGGTAAAGATCTGTAGCCCGGGTTGTGGGTGAGGTTGTTGACTTGCTCGCCGAGCTGGCTTGTTCTCGTTCAGACGTTTCATCACCTCGATGGTGTCACCTAGCATGGTGACAAAACGCCTGAACAAAAACAAGCGAGCTCAGCAAGCAAGTCAACAACCTCATCCCTGGTGCTGTTCCTGGCATGTCTCCATTGACCCAGCAGGTGATTGGTCAGCTTGAGGGGAATAGTAGGGTGGGTAGGGGGAGTTGGGGCAGCAGTAAGAGAGCGATGAGGTTACAGATTGTGATTGTCGTTGGCTGATAGCCCACTGCACCTCACGGTTGCCCAGTTGTGAGCTGTTGAATCGGTTCTGAACCCATCCCATTCAGCAGAGAGGGAGTGCCATGCAACACAGAGGGTGCCCTCAGTGTGACACAACACAGAGGGTGCCCTC